ATCTATTTTAAATGTGCATATGCAATCTAGTCTTCTTTTGTTAGGGTGCGAAGTAGTGGTTTCATAGTTACTGGTATGATCCAGGCTTCCTTGAAGAATCTCATTGACTTGGGTGTTCTTTGGAATAGATTCTCAGGTTGCACCCCTTTACATTTGAATTTGACTCCCCTTTCTCTATTTTGATATAATTAATTCAGTCTTTTCCTGGGATGTTTGCTCTTTGGAACAAAAAAAGGGTCTGATGTCACGCAATTCCTATTTAGAGATTAAAAATAGCCTTTTGAGCTCTACAAGGCATCAGGATGTAAAGTGAAGGGTCATGAAAGACAGAGGTCACTTGTGAGCAGTATGGAGCAAATAACATAGAAAATGAGAGGAATTTGTTCAAAAAGACTTCTATATAATCTAGGCCAGAGGAATATTTTTCAGGCAATTTACTGACTTCTTATCATGCACTTAATTTGTGTAACAGCAAAAAATACTCCAACTTTTTTCTTTTCTGCAATGCAATACAACTTGTCATCAAGGAAACATGGATAATTCCTGTAACTATGAAACCTCTTTTTCCCACTGCCCTTTGCTCTTCACCCTGGCACCGGTATACTTTGCTCAGACCTTTCCCTTAACTGGACTCCAGCATCTGCTTTGGTCCCTGTCCCTGTCCACCACTTCCCTCTCCAACAAGAGTGCGCTACCTCTGCTGTGCCTGCAGAAAAAAGTTCCTCCCCTCCACCGCCCTCTTTTTTCCTTCTGCCTCTTTCTAGGGCAGGGTTGTGTGCAGTGTTATCTCTCTTGCTGGCTCTTTTACACCTTTGCCAGGCAACAGTAAGGATAACATCTGATCTTTTTTTTTCCCACCTAGAACACTTTTATTTAAAGTGCTTGTTTGTGTGAGAATGTGATAACTTGATGAAGATGCATTCATTTCTTCTTCACAAGTCTTTCTCCATTTATAAGTTAACCATTTTTGTTCAGCCACTCTTGAATCAGTGCGGGTGAGCAACAAACCTTCACCAAGTTGTGTATATCATGATTTCAGCAGGGAAATGATATATACAGCAGGAACTGCAATCATTTTCTGTCTGAGTGTGAATTCAGAGGTTCACGATAGCTGACTTGCCAAGGTTAAGCAAGCTTAATGTACTTTGGAAATCGGATACTTTCTTCCACATTATTGAAAGTAATCTCTTAGAAACAGGTCTTTCAGGTAGGTTACTAGAGAGATAGGCCTCTACGTTGTTGCAGCTGAACACAGGTTATATGTTATGCTTATTTTATAGGTAAAAACTTGTCACATTACAAGAGCTGACTCAGGATTTGGTGTAATTATAACCCAACAATGCTGCTGCTGTTACCACTGCATGATCCAGTGGGCCCTGCAATGAGCTTTGCCGTGTACCTGGCAGTTCTGTTGGGGCGGCAGAGGCTGCCCACTGAGCGGTCTGCACTGCAAGTCATCTTCCTTCGCCATGCCTGGGAGTAGGGCTTAGGCAGCAACAACAAATCAGGAGGTGGGAGCTAGAAAAAGGTGCCTGGTTCAGAGAATAAAGTGACTCTGGGGTGATTTCTGCTGTATAGGAGTCAAAAAGAGAAAAGACGTGTGGGAGCTTGTGGCTGCCAGGGCCTGTGGCATTGCATCTCGGTGCTCGGTCAGTGTGCGCCCCTCGCCTTACAGCTCCCTCCCCTCAGCAACAGCCCTTCGTTTATTGCTCTCAGAGATGTATTCCCGTCTCTCCCAAGTGACCCATTCCCCCAGTTAGGGAACTGCTCATCTAAAGTCCAGTCTGAGGAACAGTTGCAGTTTACCTGGGAGGACTTCAGCTTCCTCAGTAGCCTGGTCTTAGGTTTCCTTGCTGCAGAATTGGTACTTCTCATGGTACTGCACTGGGGACATACAAAGCACAGAGGTCTAAGCAGCAGCAAGTCTACTGCTTCTGTGGCTTAGCCTACAACTCACAGCTAGTGCTCTGGGTAGTGTATTCCCCCAGGTGAGATGCTGTGCCTCTCATCTGTCACTTGACATGGTGGGGAAAAAGCTGAGACTGTCATTTCATCAGACCTGTATTTGCCCTTTGGAAAGGAGATGGTTCCAGTAGCTACAACGGAAAGGGCTGCATTCTATGCAAAATACTATGGAAAACTGCCTCTACTTTAGAACTGCTGATCTCCTGGTATTCAGTGAAATAGTTTTCTGGAGATGGGCAACTTAAGAGATGCAATGCAATTGTAAACCACTTTTGAATTATATACCAGCTAAAGGCAGAATACAGTTTACTGGCATAGGACAGTGCTTGTGAAAAGTCAAAATCCTAGTGTAAGCTTGAATACAGAGTACAGTAATGATCCCTTTTGTCTTTGAAGAATTCAGTTTAAATCAGGATTTGACAAATAGACTGCATGTGTCTTTGTAACAAGATTGGACATCATTAGAGGAGTGCATGCTTCAGCTGTGATGATGAAGATTATGTCGTCCATAATCTTGTCAAGAAGTTACTTCAGTGATCACTTTGCAGAGACTTTCATGGAAGTTAGTCAGTCCAGTTACTTTGTTTTCCATATGGCCAAATTACTAATTGTCCATAGAGTACTCTAAAGGTGACCATAAATCTTTACCATCAGCTCATGTATGTGTGCTAAAAAGTTGACTGGTTGAAAGTCATGACCTTAAGTGTTGATGCTTTCTATTTAAACCCTAAAGCGTATTCTTCTCAAAAGAGTAGAATAGTTTCTATGTAAAGAAAAACAGTAATTCAACAACATAGTGCAGTTTGGAGTTTTGTGGTTCACCTTCAGAATACAATGTATTATAGTAACTTTGGGCTGATACTTTTCTGTGATTATAGGCTGAATGAAAGCTCTATGAGCTGCTTGGCTTTTATTACCGTATCATAGCTTGTAAATCATGCTGTATTAGTAAGGGCTGGCGTTTCTCACAGGGAAGTATTAGTCGTCTTGACATTCTTCCAAATTTGTTAAAAGTTTTTTGCCAGTACAGCAGCAGAACCACTGCTGGGCATTTTATACGTGCATACAAGTCCTTAATTGGCTAACAGACGTCCTTCAGTATTATTCCCAGGCACTAAACATGTCTTGTCCTCTGGTGGTATTCTTAGCTTGAGAAACAGATAACGTACAATATTCAGTGAGTCATTGTGCCCAGTACTGCTTTTCCTTCACAGTGGTTTTAAGGGAGGATGTATGCCTTGCTTTCCCATCTCTGTGTCTAATTTTAGTAGGCCAGTAGGCAGGAGGACTTCCAGGCCACCTTCTCAGATGATGGCATCCAAAACATGGAGACTTCTAAATGAACTGCCAGTTTTAGTTCAATCTGGGGAATATTCTTAGGGAGTTCTGGTTCAGCAAAGTACGTTGCAAGTAGGTAAGGCTGGGAGTTACTATTCTGGTGTCTAGCACCCACCTGTGTATAAACATCTGCTATTACTTTCTGGATGAAGGTACAGGGTTCCATTTTAGTGTTGATTTGTGGCACTTCACTAAATGGACATGAAAGAGATTTGGTTGTCTTACTTTGAAGCAGAATTTGGCCTTGAATACACTGGAAATGGTCATAAAAGGACCATAATCTGTTCTTTTGATCCTTTTGTGTTAATGGACAGTTAAGGGTAAATTTCTGTCTTGAAAGGAAATAAGATCTTGCAGCTCAAGGTGTCTGCTTTTATATTTCTTACCAAGAGGGTGACTTATCCAGGATATATTTGTATGCTTTTTTCTCTCTCCAGCGTGTGTACACACACACACACACACACACACACAAAATGAGGATTTCTAAGAAAAGTTTTGTTAATTTTGCCAATGCAGATTTTGTTCAATCTTATGACCAAATATGTTTCACACCATAAGTCATGGCTGTGATTTGCTGCTATTCATAGCAGAAGAAATTATTTGTGCGCTATATAATGCTATTTAAAATAAGTTTTGCAATCACCACAAGTGGCAATATAAACTGATTTAAAGCTAGCGTAAGGAATGTTATCCACACCTATAATTGCAGAAAAGAAATGAAAGCATTTAAAAACCAGTGACTTATGTTCTGTGTTTCTTGTAGATTTGTAGATTTGGTCGAGGCAGGCTGCCAAGGACAGCATTTGTTTCCTTGCAGACGTTGCTGTACAGCGCTGCATGCCTGAAGTCAAGGAGCAGTGTTTACAAGTGTTTTATTCCTGAGGTTTTTTCCTAATATTTTAGCCCATTGTCCTTACGTTCTTAAGCTGGACCTAAAAAACTTTTTACTATGTGGGATTTTCACATGTGGTAGTGTATTCGTAGAGAAGAAAATGTCAAATTTTGCATCAGTGTAGACATGAAAAATAGCATTTTGTGCATATAATTACTCATTTTAGAAACTGACAATTCAGATACCTGCCAATGCAAAGTGTCTTTGAAATGGCGTCTCTTGTGTCATGAAGTGCTCTTGAAACTGCAGGTGTGTGTTACCGAGTGATTGTTGGACAATTGCTTTCAAAATGTTGAAAAATGACAGAGCGGGAAAAGATTACTAAGGTGATTTCAGTTATTTCCCATTTGATACCTGAAAACACATAATTCACTGTGTCTCATTTCAAATTTTTAATTAAAATATGGTTTAAAATTGCTATAAATTCAGTGAGCTTTGTGGAGATAAAAGTTTGGAGGACTGATTGAGTTCAGTGTTACCTGTTTTCGTGGCCAAAATTTCCCCTACGCAAATGAAAATAAGAAAATGAAGTAATACAAAATCTGAAAATTTATACTGCAAAATTATTTTTCCTGGAAGCAAAACAATTGAATTGTAATAAGCAAAGTTTCGTATTTACAGTAATTTGATCAATCTTTTAAAATAAGCATTAATTTTGACTTGTTATTGAAAGCATTTCCGTATTTAGTTTTCTGCTGTTTGTTTTTTATTTTTTCTGCTGTTATTTTTTCAGGATTTCTCTATAATAAAGTATCTTTTATTATTATTATTATTTATTTTTTTAACACAGATATCTGTCCATTCCAGAACGAATATTTTCTACAACCAGAGTCTGAAATGGTACAACTGCAGCTTTAAATAATTTGGCTTTGGCAGCTCCATCATTTTCTGAGGACTTGGAACGGATTTGGGCTCTGCTTCTGCACTATCCTAGATAATAATGCCATCCCTGCCTAATGAGAGAGGTATGCTAGTCTTGGATTTTTAATATAGCCTATTAATTATTCAGTATACTTGTACCTCTTATGTTTGTATTTTTAGTTCATTTGTATATCGTATGTGAGACACAAAGATGTTGATAGATACAACATTATTTTTCAAAGATAACCATCGAACTTCTCCTCTAACTTTGAGTTCGGAACTACCCTATCAAAGCACAATTAAAAGAAAAGTCAGAAAAAAGAAGAATGGAGTCATCACCGCAAATGTCGCTGGCACAAAATATGAAATTGGTAGGAAGCTACATATTTTGTTTTCATCCTAACAGCTATTGACGTGAATGAATTACTAACTAATGGGGTAAATTAATGGACCTTGCATCAAACTGACAGTGAGACATTTCCAGAGGGTTTTCATCTGTAACAAAACTTTGTTCCTTTTTGTAACACTGAGTTGATAGCTTTGAACACTGTGCATCTATTCCTTCTCATTTGTTACTCAGGGAAGGGCCTTGAAATACAAAAACTGAAGTAATCAAGAAGGCTGTGGAAAAAGCACTCTAATTATGAATTATGTATACGTTTGGAAGTTGACTTAAAGCCTTAAAAGATGAACAGTGTGAATTTAGTGTTAAATATTCTTCATTATTATACAGAGATTTCTCAGTAAAATCTACCAATGTTTAGTATTTTGATGACTGAGACTACTTCAGAAAAATCTTGTCTCCTAGAACCTGAGATACGCCTGGCCACATAATCAGACTTTTATGTTTTTTTTTCTTTTTAATATGTATTAAAATAACAGGCATTTGCTTTCGTAACTACTGTACTTTCACTAAGAAGGGATTCTTGTCCCCTGTCTGCAGTGCCGCTTGTAGTCATCACTGTTTTAAAATTAAGATATGTGATAGTTAGGATTAAGTCTGAAAGCTGTGCAAGTGGACTCTTACTGTGATGATTGTGGAATGCCCTGAGTCTCTTTACGGTTCCCACCAGCGGTCCTGCTGTGATTGTAGCGTCAGTACAAGGTGCTGTAATGTTGTAATGGCAGGTTTGCAATAGACTGATGGAAATATTGCAAGATAAGTAATAGCTTGCATGCTAACATTGCTCTCAGGCAAAAGACTGAATAATAAAATTGTTTAAAATCTTCATAGTTTTTTTTAGTTTTTGAAAATTAATCCATTTTAGAGGTTCAAAATATTCCTTAAGTCTGTGATTTCTCCGTAGTACGTGTAGTAATACGAGAAATGGGATTTGTGACAACACGTGACGAGGATGAAACAGCCAATCTGATATGGAGTGATTCTGCTGTGCAACAAGAAAAGATTGCTGAACTTCGGAACTATCAGGTAGGGTGGTAGTTAGGGTTTCTGACTTGTTTCAGTAAACTGCTTCACTCTGAAACATTCAGTAATGTGTCACTTTTGGTCAGTTACTTCTGTATGGAGAGAAAAAAATCCCACAAAACACCACCAAACAGACTGCAATAAGGCTGTACCACTACATATTTTAAAATCCTATTCTCTTTTCCAGAGTTATATGTTCATACCACTTGGAATCTGGTGTTTAAATATTTGGGGCTGTTCTTTCATGCTTTTGTCTGCCAGTTGGGTGTTGTGAATGATCAGAGTTTGAAAGAAGATGCAAAACATCATTTATAAGTTGCTCATAAGCTTTTAAGCAGTAAGTTAACAAGCAGAGCTCTCTCCCCAGTTTCTGTGAATAAATAATTCCTTTTTTACCGTAACTTTGTGATAGCATTCTTTGTTCTTCGATAGCTTTGTGAATTAGAGTATGATAGTCTCCTTTCATGTCTGAAATCAATGGGCATACTCACGTTGGTGGAGGAGAATACAACTTACAGTATCGTTAGTGTTGCTAAGAATACATAGTATAATGTAAAACATTATCTTAAATTATTTATAAGTAACACTAATTATGTTTTCCTGAGCATGCAGGTGAATGCTTTAAATGACTATATTAGGTATGCCAGGAAAACCAAAAAGTACCAACTCGTTTTCTTTTTTTCTCCTTCCTCAGAGAATCAACCATTTTCCAGGAATGGGAGAGATCTGCAGAAAGGATTTTCTGGCAAGAAACATGACTAAGTAATTTTTTGTTTAATACTTAGTAGCTTAGCAGCCATGGCATTTAATGCAGTATAATACTGAATTATTGCTTGTAAGGTTTGTTTATTTTTCCTAAGAGGTTATGGGAGGACCAAGAATAATTTCCAAAGTTCCTTAATAAATTTGGCTTTGGTCCTGGATCTGTAGCATCAGAGTAGGCTACTGTATCTCTCTAATTGTCTTCAGTGGGAAATGATGTGGATTCAGTTCTCTATCTATGCACTGGAGAATGTAGGAGCACACCTTAAATTATTATATACTACACTTAATACATGTATACTACACTTAATACACCCAGGTGTATAGCATGCAGTGGTAGAACAGAAAAATAACTAGTATGTGGATGGTTATGATTTGTTTAAAATAATGACTACATTTTTGTATATATCAGATTTAAAAAATGTGATGTGTCTGACTGTTTGTATAAGAAATAAGTCAGAGAGGCTCATTTGTTTCACTTATAAATTCTCCTCACTCTAGTGGAATTGAGTTCTGAGGAATTATCCTAGTTGAGAATCTCTGAGTATGACCTGTGAGGAAGCAATACTAAATAAGGAAAAGCTGTGGGAGAAATATGTGTGGATATTTTGATTCTTCTAATCTAAATTAGTTTAAAGAGCAGCTATTAATAGTGTTAATCTTTTGGCCCCCAATATTACCTGCACTGCATTTCCTGTTATTCAAATAGAATTTGTTTTAATATATAAATGTAATTAATGTGATGTCTCCTCTCACTCTTTCTATTTCCTTTTCTTGTTTGTAACTACAACACATAGCATGTAGAATGTATGCAACTATTATCATGTAAATATTCTGTGTATTGCTATGGTGTCTATGTGTGAGTCAGAACTCCCTTGTGTCAATACATGCTACACAGGCACTTTTCACTGCTCCTTTCAGGCTTAAACTCTAAGTGAAAACAGGGAGATAGCACATGGAGGCAAACAGCACTTGGAAAGGTCTTGGAAACAGTGACATAGCATTGGCCATCTTGGTAGGAAGTGGTATCCCTGTGTATTGCTACAGTTCTGTGATTTAAAAAAATGTGGAAAATGGGAAGAAGATTCATGTTATCATGCACACATTGTTTTCAAAAACAGTCTGATGATACCTCTCTCAACCTACTGAATTCTGAGTTTGAAACACTGTTTAAAGGTACTCAATGCAGAGATTGCACATATTATAGATAAGATTTCCCTGGTATGATTACTCTGGGTCAAATGTATCCATGTTGTGACTTCACTTAATATCAGTATATATATAGCAAGGTTGTAATCTGTCTGTTTTTTCTCAGTACAAGCCTCATAATTCAATACTTAGTATTTGTAATTTATAAAAATCAAACCGATGTGCCTTGAGACTGCTTTTGAAACAGACATGTATGTGAAATCAGAAGTCAGTTGGGTTACATGATTGGGCAGGCTCTTGTCTGTAGAGTGGAGGATTTTGTGCCATAGAGCTTCTGTTCTGTCTTAAAACTTATTTGAACAGGCTAGTGCAGAAACACTGATTCTGTTCTCTTGGTTTTCTGCTGTGTGCAGTCTTTTCTATCCCTGATACTGACTTGTACAGAATAGCTGTGGGTTTTACACCACTGAGAGTTCATGAAACAACTGCTTAGAATTGATGGAGAGCAGACAAGTGTTTATTCTTCTTTTTCTTGTACTTCTACCTTTGCTGTTTTACTGATCTCACACTTACGTTTTATATGAGCTGTTGGGAATGGAGCGGAAGAACAAATCTGCCAAACTCTTGACAGGCAAGTGCTATTCAGGAGCAACTGTTCTTCAGGAATTCCTCTTACAGCCAATATCCAAGCACTCTGTATCACAGGACAGCACGGGACAATTTGGGTCTCACATGCGGAAGGGTGGAAAGGAGTGGTGTAACATGTAGTGTGTGTAATATCAAAGAAGACAATCAAAGAACTCAACACGAGCCAGCAGTGTGCGCTTGCAGCCCAGAAGGCCAACCGCATCCTGGGCTGCATCAGAAGTGTGACCAGTAGAGTGAGAGAGAGATTCTGCCCCTCTACTCTGCTCTCATGAGACCCCACCTGGAGTACTGTGCCCAGTTCTGGTGCCCCCAACATAAGGACATGAAGCTGTTGGAGTGAGTCCAGAGGAGGCCACGAAGATGCTCAGGGGGTGAAGCACCTCCCCTGTGAGGACCGGTTGAGAGAGTTGGGGTTGTTCAGCCTGGAGAAAAGAAGGCTCCGGGGGGACCTTATTGCAGCCTTCCAATTCCTGAAGGGGTCCTACAGGAAAGCTGGGGAGGGACTTTTTACAAGGGCAGGTAGCGACAGAACAAAGGGGAATGGTTTTAAACTGGAAGAGGGGAGATTTAGACTGGATATTAGGAGGAAATTCTTTACTGTGAGGGTGGAGGTGTTCAAGGCCAGGTTGGATGGGGCTTTGGGCAACCTGGTCTAGTGGGAGGTGTTCCTGACCATGGCAGGGGGTTGGACTGGATGAGCTTTAAGGTCCCTTCCAACTCAAACCATTCTATGATTCTAACCCAGCACAGAAAAAATAGGACCACATAGTAATGAAACAGATGGAAGCAGGACTGTAATGGAGAACAAAAGGAGACATGAGTATTGTTTTCGAGGAGAATAATCAGAATACAGAAAAAAAAAAAAAAGAAAAACAGAGGTGCTGCTGTAGGGCCAGCTAGATCCTAATTTCTGTAAATGATCTCTTAGGTGAGATCTTATCATGTGAAAGATGTGTGGTTGCAGAATTAATACAATAAGCAGGGGAGAAGTTGTACAGGATGAATGGGAAGGGGAACAGACACGTGTATGAGATGGTCTTTTTTTGCAGCACCTTTGTTGTTTATGTTTAAAAGGTTTGTGAACTGGTCACGGACCAAGAATTGTTCTCATCCATACCTACCCACTAACCTCCTTTCATACTTGAAAAGTCAGAGGGTCTTGAAATCCAGGCAGTGGAACCTGCGTTATTAGACTGACAAATCATGTCCTGAGTAACCTACATTTTGTTAAACACCTTTAATTCTTTTGCACAGAAGAGCACTCTCAGAAACAAGAGCACAGTCTGACCACAAGAGCTAAAATAGCTCTCAGAAAAACAATGACTTGCTGTTTAATTCTCAGGCCTCCTGATAAGGACTGCAAAGGCTAAAAGACAGAGCAGCACAGTGAAGATAGTGGTTACCCTCAGTAGTGGGTAGCAGATGTGCTGGAAAATAGGGCTATTGTCACAGAATAGGTTTTGATTCCACGTGCTACTTAATGTTATTCCTAAGCCATTTCTGAATAGGGCCAAGCAGGAAAAGAACAGAGCTGAATTCTTTTGTTGAAAGTTACAGTGAGCACCAGAACTTGTCAACAACCGTTAAATGTTCTGCTTCATATTATTAAGTGTTTGTAGTCTACCCAGCTATGCATAGAAGAGAAAAAAAGCATATAGAACTGATGTACCTACAGCCACAAAATAATATTAATGTATCTAGAATACCATGAAGCTATATTCGTTGAGGAGGGAATAAGTGTATTGAAACCTGTGAGGAAGTTAAATGACAAGTCTCTGTCATGTAGCACTTTAGGATGCATATGGTAAGTAATCTGGAGACGGATGGAGACTAACAAAGGAATTGCTGTTTGCCTAAAAATAGGATCATTTCTGCCTACATGAGCTATTCAGTTAGCAAGGTAATAACATTTGTAAATATATAGCAGATGGAGAGTAGTTTAAAAACATGCGTGAATCATGAATTAGAATATCTAGTTATGTTTTCTAAAACAAATGCTAAATATTTGGTGGCTTTCAGCAAAGCAGATTTGTAAAAATAATAGCTAAATGAAGCTGCAGAAGCACTGGACCTCATGCAGCACTTCAAGACTACTATAGCTATTGTTGTTTCTGCAGAGTGTTTGTTGGGCAGTTGGCTAAACAATTTGGTGACAACATATCTATTATACCAGTAGGGCTTGGCTACAGTCCTAGCCTTACAGATGTGGTTGGCAGCTCTGTTTTTTTTCCATTAGTGTTTGAGTCACTTAAAGAAAAAGTAGCTTATGCTGCGTCAGGAGTATAATGTAAACTTACAGTAGAGGTGCATGAACAGTTGCTTGGCCTGTGTCAAAGTATATTTACTACAATTCCTTACTTTTGAAATTCCTTCAAAAGACTGGGAAAGAAGCAAAAAACTCTTCTTAAATTGCTTCCATTTTCATTTTAAAGACAGTCCTTGTTATATTTTTGGCACCCATGAATAAACTCCAAATATCCAAGGTCCTATTTTTTTGGTGTATGTTGGTCCTCATTCATCCCCAAATACATACCAATACGAGACTTGTCAAATATTCCCACCCCTCCTAAGGGAAAAATTAATTAAAAAAAAAGAAATATAGGAATTTATTAGGTAGGAAAAGATCTATAATCACATGGTTTATTGTGAGTTTAATATTTCTAAGGACAGGAATGGCACTAAATGATCTGAGTAACTGAACAAAAACTATTACAGGAGTGAGATGGATGCCCATAACATCATAAGCAAATAGGATACGATAATAAGCAAAAACGCAGAAAATGCATTCTGTTGTTCTTAAAGTACACATATGAATATGTCATAAAGCTCTAACTGTGCTTAAACAACTGCAGAAGTTTGCTTTCATACTGCAGCATTTTGCTAAAAAAGTTTCCTTGGCAAATTGTTGTAAATGCTTTTTAATCCTGAGGATTGATACGTCAAAGTAGTTAAAAGATTCTAACTCAATTACACTTTTTTGCAGAATGATCAAGAATCAGCCTCAGGAGTATAGTTTTATACCTCGAACATGGATCTTCCCTGCAGAATACACACAGTTTCAGAACTACGTAAAGGAGCTGAAGAAGAAACGTAGACAGAAAACTTTCATAGTCAAACCAGCTAACGGTGCAATGGGACATGGGTAAGTTGCATGCTAACTTCAGTCTTCTTACCCATTAAAGGTGGAATCCAGTGCTATTTACAGCATTAACAGAAGCTGTGTAGTAGTAAAAAGTTTATAGTTCAAGTCATATGATCAGTATTAGAAAGTTCATGTATTGGGTGAAGGCTTAACAAGCAGAAACTGCTAAAATATAAAGCTAAATGATAGTGGTATTTGAATATTATTCTGAATGTGGCATAATTAGAAAATGCATTTTCTGATGAGCCTCAAATAATTCTTAAGGTCAGGATTATTTTTATTGTGAATTTATCTGAAGAATTTATTTATTAATCTGTTGTACTTAGACTTATGGGGTGAGATTGTATTGGACGTGTTTTGGTGGTTGGGGGCTGTGGGGGTGTCATGTGTGGGATAAGATCAGGATCTTCCACAGCTCTGAAACCTGCCCAACTACCCTATTGCATGCCAAAACTGCAGCCAGTCAGAGAAGCACAAACGTGTTTAGGAGTGCCAGCCACAAGGTGTGAGAGAAACGGAGGAGACAGTTTTGGGGATGTGGCTGGAGGGTCACTCTTGGAAGGAGGTGACATCCATATGCTGGAGGAGAGACATCCCGAAAGAGACTGCAAGCTGCAGTTGAGTTGAAATGGTTTTGCCTTTGACAAGGCTGCACAGTAAAAAACAATGAAATAAATATTGCACTTTCAATTAACTCTCTTCTTGTTTTCAGAGATTTCAATTTCAGCTTTTATTGCTTTTTATATAAATTTGGATTATATAGTGTAGTAAAGCAATTATGTTTTTAATACTATCAGAATTACTGTAAAAGCAAAGCCCTCAAACTTTTCCATTTCCTTATTTTTCTGTTCCCTTAATAAGAGCAAAGATAATCTGAAGGGGAAAGTAGCAGCATATTTCAGAGAAATGCCTGGAAAGTACTTCAGTGTATAAGGAGCATTCAGCACCAGATCACTGAAATGTATCATAAATAATAGAGGGGAAGATTAAAGCAACAAAGCTATGGGAATTCAGGGTTAATAATGATACACTGAAAAATATTAGCTATTACAGTTATTTAAAAGTCTGTTTAGTTAGAGACTGCCGGTTTATAGTCTGTGCATAAACCATTTTTCATTCTGATGTGGGGAAACTGGAATACATAAATACTGAGCTTAATCTATGCCATCCTTAGTTGTATTGACCAATGTCCCGCTCTGCAAATTTCTTACTGAATCAGGTTAGGACTGAAAGTTCTTTGCAACCTGTACCTGGGGCAGAACTTGTGACAAAGGCAGGCTGGGAGCCTATTTTTAGAGCTGCATGGGGAAGAATAATCACAAACGCTGGAGACTGGTCGTTCTGCCAAGTGATTTCTAAGTGTAGAGGGAACACATTATTACAAATTGTTGAATCAAAGGAAGCAGAAAGTTATTTTGAAATGGCTCGTTGCCTTTTTTCATCCAGTGAAGCACCATAAAAGACAGGAAACTAAAACCTATCTAAGTGAATGGCGCTTTTTCTCTACCCTACAAATCAGATATGTAAGTCTCTTTTTCTAGGCAGACTTCAGCTTTACTAACTGTCTGGGTGACCATGAAAATCTGTTTTGAAGAGTAATGTCAAAGTTCCATGTTTTTAAAATAACTTTTACTTTTACCAGGATCTCTTTAATAAGAAATGGAGAAAAGTTACAAGCTCAGGATCACTTGATTGTTCAGGAATATCTTGACAAACCATTTCTTATGGAAGGCTACAAGTTTGATTTACGTGTGTATATTCTTGTAACCTCTTGTGATCCATTAAAAGTATTTTTATATCATGACGGCCTGGTGAGAATGGGCACAGAAAAGTATCATCCCCCCAGTGACTCAAATTTGGTGAGTTGGAGTTCATTCCGATTTGTTGCTTATGAATGTAGAATTGTACCTGTGTAGTGTTTGGAGAAGGTAAAATAAAATAAGTTGTGACATGAGCTTTAATTTGGTATTCATCTGGCTGAAGTTTTGCTATGTCATTGAAGAGAAAGAAATAAAATGAAAGATACTTATCTCATGCTTTTCTATCAAAATCACAAGTATAGCCATATTATTGGTTACATATAAAAATTTTGTATGACTTTGCATGTATGTATGCTAAAGAGCTTACTGACATTCAACCCGGAAAAAATGAAGAAAGAAAATGACTTCAATGACAGTTATGTTGCTTTTACATTTATCTGAGGCTCAGTTTGGATGAGGTGGTGAAGGAGGACAAGGTTTATCTCCTGCTGGTTTAACATCCCTGAAGTTCAGAGCTTCTGTTGAGGATCCTGCAGTGTTTCAGCCATTGTGTTGGAACCTGTGCAGAAAACACAGAAGCACTGATACAAACGCAGTGTGTGAGCGTGGTCGCTGCAGTCCCTGAAAGTGAGGGAATCTGCTGCTGGCACTGTGTGTCACTGACTGCTTCAGTGGGGCCGGGAGTGTGTACTTGACAACTTTAGGGTAATACAGCAGGGCTGCCTGTGAGCTTGCAGAGAACCAGGAAATGGTAAGGGACTAAAGTTTTTGGACACTTCAATTCTCCTATTCACTGTATAGCATCCTCCCCTCTTGAGAGGTGTCACTCACAGAACAAAATGCAGATGTCTGTGAAGAAAGAAGTAGATTTGTAGCATTGGGAGGCATGAGTGGGTCTGGGTGTCTCATACCTACACTCTGTACTCCATTGCTACTTTCTTTCCGTTTCCATACATATACTTTTAGAGCTGCTTCAGTGTAGTTATACAGTAGGCGACACATGGAGAGCCTTTTTTGCTACTTGTCACCTAAAATTGTGATGGTCTTGGTGCTCCTTTGAAGAATGCAGGTATAATTTGGAGCCCAGTACAAATGGTATATTTGGAAGAGTTCCAATATTATATTTGCAACAGTTTGCTTTTAGTATTTTTTTATTGTTACTAATCTCAGCATTAGCAGCACTGAAATACGCTCTGAGCGGATAAACAGAACAGGCAGTTGTTTCTGTGTTCTCACAACTGTTCATGTTGTAGTTTGTTGGATGAAATAACCTGGCTTATCACTAATGATGTTGTTCTTTGGATGATATTGTTCCACAGTGACATTGTTCCAGATAACTTCAGACTAAAGATTAGTTCAGATGTTTAACAAATGTTCTAAAAACACTTCAGTTTTTTTGTAGACTGAAAAATAATTGCTTTTGTCTGAAATAATTTAAATTTTATGGAAAGATGACATTTATAATGACTCAAAATAATAGGTTTCAGAATTAGTCTCAAAGCAGTAATTGGAAGCCATGGGAGAAATTAATTACTTGTAGTGCTCATACAATATATCGTTAACTAGTCTGCAATTAAGTTGATTGGTTTTGTTAATTTCATTAAGTGTTTTGAAACGTAAGTGAGATAAATGACAGCAGAAGGCTTGTGTTATCTATCAGCTATTTTACCCAAATGGAATTGGAACAGAAGGTTTATGGTCAGCTTAGAACATCAGCTACGCTCAGGTAAGGAATCAAACATGGCAGAGAACTGTCACTGTGATGAGGACGGGCATCATGGTGGTGTAGGTGGAAAGCTGATTTAATATCTGTACTGGGAGATAATGTAAACATATAAAGCATGAATTGTAAATTGGCCTTGGAAAGGAATTACTTTTTTTTTTAATGCAACTGGTAACATGAATCTGTTCCTGGTGCCATTTTGCTCCATAAAGGAACCATAGCACTCATTCATTTATGTATTGTATAACTTGAAATTTACCTCCCTTTGATGTATGGCTACCAGCCAGTCAAAAAAGAGCAATTTTGGCAGATATCAACACGGCAGATGAGTTTATATGTTAAAGATATTTTAAAGTATCACTATCAAGAGAACATTTCTCATAAATAAACTACAGTGAAAACTGAAATGTGGGATTGTCTATGAAACAGATGCCAGAGTGTTTTTTAGCACTATTAAAGTAGCACTTCTAAATACCATCTTTATTGTTTGCTTCTTGTGGAATGTAATAATTCTATAGATTATGATAATTGCTCTTTGCGTTTTTAGATAGTTGTTTACATACAGACCTGTAAAAACAGCAGATACATTGCGTACCCAGATGTTGAGTGAGTTGACTGCACCTGGCTTAAATACGAGCACAGGTCTTGTTATAAGAAGGCTAGAACATTCATCATAGTAGATGAAATCTCCAAGAATTAGAAACACTAAATCTGCACGTAGTGCTATTTGCAAATATGAACTCTTTGACTATGTCATTATTGATTTAACTTCTTTTTTCTTTTAATTGTTTTGAACTGACCATTCTAGAGTTGTATTTAAGGGGTTTTTTAATGTCTCTTCTCCCTTTTTTAGAGTCAATTATATATGCATCTGACTAACTACTCTGTCAATAAACATAATGAACACTTTGAACGGGATGAAACAGAAGACAAAGGAAGCAAACGCTCCATAAAATGGTTTACTGAGTTTCTAGAAACAAATAATCTTGATGTCTCCAAATTCTGGAGTGATATTTCAGTAAGATAAAACTAATATGCTTTTCTTTATTTTGTGTATGTGTATTCTTAGAAAATTATTTGCTTCTGCCATCCACTTTACTGGAATCCAGAATGAGTTTGGAAAATTTATTAATCCAAATTCTCAGCAATGCATGCCACAGGAGAGATACTGTAAATGATGACTGTGAGTTTTAAAAGGCTAAATTCAGAGTTTGATTATAAATTTACCACTAAACTTCCTCTGAAGGACAAAAGCCCTTTCAAACAGTTACTCACACAATTAATGTGATACAAAGGAACCATGCCATTTAAATTATTGGAGACTTTTTCCTGAGTATAAAGTGAATTTTATGTGTGAGTATTTACAGATTGTAGTCAGCGTTGGATACATCTGTGGACTAGAACCTGTGTCATTTGAGTTATTACATAGCTAGAAGTACATATATTATGAAAAGTATAACAGTTACTCTAGAACTACATTTAAAAGAATGTCTGTTACTCCATAGGAATAGCTTACTGTGGTCCATTTATTTGGTATTTTAAATATTTTTTTAGTACATACTTTAATGACATTTAAAAGATTAAAGTATGAAACACATTAGTTTAATATATACTGGTGTCTTCTCTCCTGATGAATTTTTCTGAAAAAAATCCCTACAGGAGTTAGTAGTGAAGACTCTCATAGTTGCAGAGCCACACGTTCTCCATGCTTATCGCATGTGCAGGCCAGGGCAAGCACCAGGAAGTGACAGTGTCTGCTTTGAAGTCCTGGGATTTGATATTCTGCTGGACAGAAAACTAAAACCGTGGCTCCTAGAGGTAAACCTCTTTAAACAAATTTAAAGTAAATTTTTAAGAGTAAATTTCACTAAGCCCCAGTTGAATGTATATCTATGTAAGAAATCTTCTAATGAAAATACGTGTGTTGCAGGAGGTACTGTTGTTGAGTACATAGATGGTGCTTTTTCTGCAGCATCCACCTGGAAATGCTGCCTTGCAGTGATTTTTGGAGACTCAGATGAAGATGATTGTCTTCCTGGAGGAATGTTACACTTCAAGTGTGTTTGAAAAATCCAGCTATGATGGTGTGATGTTAATCCAGTTGTTATTGTAGCTGGAGGACCTGCTTTATATAGCAGTTGGGTGTTACGTAGATTTCCTTCATGACTATGGCTCTGTATAAGGCTCTGGAAACTTCTGTGAATATATGGTCTTAGGTTTGGTTGGGTTTTTTTTGATATGTGTTCTTTTACTTTCTTGTGGCTTTTAAAAGCACCCACTTAAACAAAAGGAAGTAATTCAGTATACATGAAATGCTGTCAAACAGTTGGCCTGAATGGATTGGAAGAAACGTTTCTCCTCTGACATATTACTGGTACAGTTAAACTTAAGTGGTGCTTGAACACATTTTGAACCAGGAATATTTGAGGTTTGTCTATTGTGTCTTTTCAATTGCGCTATTAATAGCATACATGGAGTTCACTTGTCTTTTTTCCAAGTTCTTATATTGTTACGTTAACTGGTTGGGAGACTGTACAGCTGGAGGAAAAGAGCAAAATGTATTAAAAATCTGTCTGTTGACAATAAATCATGAATATGATTTGGCTACTGATGAGCAAAATATACACAATTAATTTACTGAATTATAACCTTGTTCTTTGGCCATTCATTTTGTCAACAGTTGTTTTGTCGTGCTTATTTCTCTCAGGGGTTCAGTATAATTTTAGTTAGAAAAATGTAAATTCCTTCACTGTTGCCATGCAGACAAGGGGTGGCTTTGATGTGCCAGCCAAAAGCAGCACGTGACATTAACTTAGTCTGTACTGTATTGGTGTCTTCTCTTTTTGTCAAGCAAAGCCTACTATCCCTTTAACTTAGCTCTACACTTCCAGATTATCATCTATATGTTGCCTGTAGCTTGCATGTAAGTGTATGTAGTTAAGTACAGACTGCAGCTGGTCTGTGTATGCATTTCATCCAGGCTTGTAGCAAGTGGTGACAGAACCTCTGCCATGAGAGATGGTGAATCAACTGGTGTAGTGAATCCATTCTGAAGGACACCACTCTGTCTCTGTGGATGTTTACATGCAGTATGGAGATTTTAGGGAGGTTGATTCACTCTTTATCACAAAGGGTCTCAGAGGAGAATCATGCTATCCCAGACTCCCTGTTTGTGAGGAAGAGATCTCGTAAATTAGTAGATACTTCTCTGGGTTACTGGAGAATACTTCAGGAATTGGAGTCGTGTACCTGGTTATTCTTTTTTTAAATACAGAAGTATATTTCCTTTTCTACTTTTGGTAATACAAGTATCCTTCAAATTACTTAGCCAGACATTGAACTAAACTAACAGAAATGTCAAACTTTGAAACTTAGTAATTCAGTTTCTGTACTCATCCACTAATTTTTACTGTGCTTGTTCATGTTTTTTGCAGCACTCTCAGAACAAAACACACAGTATGTACACTGTATGTATACTTTATGTAGTGTAGCAAAGATAAGATATGCAGTGTATGTGTGTGTATACACACTATCCATATGATACATACAGCGTGTATATATGTGTATCTATATATAATTTTTTTCCGTAAAACAGTTCTGGCTTCTTCCCCAGCTTTCCACTCTTATCTTTTTCCACCATTTCTCTCTTGCCAAACTCCCCTTAGGGGAGTGAATCATTCTTTCTAACAGTGGTAACAAGTACTAATCACAAGGCCCCGAATGTTCCCAGTGTTGTGGGAAAATTGCCAAAACAGGATTAGGATGTTAAATCTTTCCATAGCTCATGTAGCATTTCTGTTATAAAGGTAGTTTAATAAACTGTTACAAGAAATAAATTATGCAACACTATCATGACTGCTTTCCTGACGTGGCTTTAGTTTATATTCCCCTGATGCAATGTCACTCTTCTGCTCCTTGATGCTACTGAACTTCCGGAACCTTCTACTGAAGTGAGGGCTGTGGGAAATGCATGATTGCCACCTTGTGGCACCAAGTGTTTCTGGCAAGTGTCTGTGCGGGAGTCGCAGCAGCCTCCATCCTTTCTGAGTAGCAGCTAACTAGATTTCCCTTCTGTTCCCAGAAAATTAAGTTTTACTATTTTTGACCAAAATTTCCAAACTAGATTATTTTAGGTACATAGAAAAGAATCATACAGCTGAAGTTCTTGAATGGACTCCAGCCTTGTTCAACCTCATTATATCAAGTTGGGTTTGCAAAGTTGTGATCCTTGGAGAAAAAGATCACTTTTTTAGAACTGCCTCAAGTGCAGAGTACCCAGCTTCTCTTGTAATTTATGTGAGTGAAACTCACCTTACATACACAAATTTAATATTTAGTGTAACCGAACTAGCAAAATGTATTCAAAACTTTATCTGTCCAGTTAAATGGACTTTGGATAACTGAGGCCTAAGTATCCAATTATTCCTAGTTCCTATTCATAAAGTAGTTAAAACTCACATACACAGGATTTCTGGTATCTACTTCTTTCTCTTGTGTTATACTTACCCCTGCCTGTGCCCTTGGAGATGCAAAGGCCAAAAAGGGGCAGGAGAGGTCTACTTCTCAAAAAATAGACAGGTAGCCGATTATAACAAGTTGTCAGTGTCCTGCGTTCTTCATGGGGAGGAAAACACTGTTCACAGTGAAGGTTTCTTCCTCTTTGCTCTTAGCTTCACTTAGGGTTATTTTTATTTACCTGCTGCCTCCGTCCACTTACCAGCTGCTCATTCACTGGCCAGCACATTGTCTCCAAGTTCTGCCATAAGAGGTTTGTTTTACATTTCCTGGATTCTGCTTGCTGTTCTCTTTGTTATCTCCAAACCCAGCGTTATCTAGTACATGAGGTTGCATTCCTGTAGCGAACACTTCTTGGCCACTGTGATCGGTGTATATCTCAGAGACTCTGGATTTTCAAGGCCTTCTCTGTCATCATTTGTTTGTATTTTTGGAGGCCCTTCATACATTCCTGTTTTTTGCCAACAGAATGCCTTCCTGGTAAAATCAATGATGTTGTATTTAATACAACCTAGTCACGTGTATGTTCTGGTTCTTGGGTCTCTGAATTCTAAATAATCATCTCTCAGCAGACAGATACATTACTTCGGTAACCAAAGTAAAGTTATTTTGAATACCTATTGTGACAGCATTGCTAGTAGGTTATCAGGATTACTTTATAGATCAGTCAGCAACAAGGAAACAAGGGATAGCCACATGAAAAATAAGGGACAGTACTTCCTTCTGTGGGATATTTTAAGGAAAATGCAATTTTCTTATCATAGCGTTTTTTGCCCAAGACTTCTCAAGATTTCTCACCTATGATCACATTTGATGAAGCAAGACACTTTGTTCCATATAGGCAGTATTTAACCCCTTACGTGAGTAAAATTTTATGCAGATATCAAACAGTGGAATATATAGAGTAATGGTATTTGCATTATCAGGCTCTCCTCAGAGGTACACAGTGAAATGGCTGGAAAAATCCAGGAATAGTGCATAGAGGCATGATGTGGGAAGGTTGCTTGAATGAAAAGAGAATAAGAAGAACATACCTAGAAAAACTTTCTGCATGGTCTTTCAGGATTTCTGCTGTTGTTTTTAAATAGGGAGTTATATCCCTTGTTGATGCTCTGATAGATGTGCATAGATGACTATGCACAGCATTTGCATTGTGCTGCAAATTACTCGTCAAGGGGAAAAAGCTTAAACTTTTCTTCATAGAGAGAAATTTAGGTGAGATTCTAATTTGAAAAAATAAATGAACTGGCATTGTGGGCACCCAAATTTGTTATGCCCCTGTGGTTTTCACACAGATATAAGCCTATTTGGGTTTTACCACGAGATTTGCCATTGTTCCTTTTTAATTTAGAGCTGTAAAAAAAATATTCTGCCAGTTGTATATTGTATCAGCTTTCCACGGAGCCCATGAATTACATTCAAACAGTGGATGGAGAACATTTTGAGTAATTTTGTTAGGTACAGACAATATTCAGATTGCTCTTAACAGTCACAAAAGTTAAGAGGATTTAAAAGCATTCTGTTTGAAGGAAGCATTCACCACCTTACATAAGGCACAGCTCTTGGACTGCCATTTTGCGAGTGTGTTTATTTATTATATGAGTATCTACTGGGGAGATCATGATGTTTTCTTTGCTCTGAACAGAAACTCAAAGAATTTAATTTTCTGGCACATTTCAAAATACATAAAAATGTTGTAAATTAAGTTTCAGCTTACTCAAAATATGTAGAGAACCTGAGAGCTCACGCTGTTTTTCACTGAAGCACAGTCCAGCAACCTCTGATGTCAGGATGAGCAGCCTGCACTGTTACTCTGTTGAGAAGGGCTCACTTCTCACTTTAGCATCTTGCTTAAGTTACATGAAGTCCAAATAAGAATAGTATGAAAAGTAATATCACAGTAGTTACATTATTGTAACTAATTATTGATTTAACTAACATTTTCTTATAAGCTCTATCACAGCTTATTGCAAGTTTGAAAAGGAACAATTTATTTTCTTTGTAGATTTGCAAGAGAGCGCTTGTTTTACTCATACTCTTCAGTAGAAACTGTTTCACAAAGCACTTCTGTATCAGTCAGTGAGGCAGTGTGAACAAAGAAGTGGTGCAGAGGCATTAATGATCGGTCAGGTGAGCACAGGGTACCTTTAACGTTGCCCTCTCATATTCTTCAGCAAGGTCAGCGTTGCAATTATGTCATGAGTGTATATATGCATATGTATAAAAGAGAAGCTGTAAAAGCTCAGTTGCCTCTTGACCCAAGAGTTTAGCAGTATTTTGAATCTTTCCAGTTCCCGTTAGGA